ATCAACAAATCAACAAACAACAAGTGTTGGAGAGGATGTGGAGAAAAAGGAACCCTTCTGCACTGCTGGTGGGAATGCAGACTGGTGCAGCCACTGTGGAGAACAGTATGGAGCTACCTCAGAAGACTAAAAATGGAACTCCCATTTGACCCAGTGATCCCACTACTAGGAATATATCCCAAGAAACCAGAAACGCCAATCAGAGAGGATATATGCACCCCTATGTTCATAGCAGCACAATTCACCATAGCTAAGATTTGGAAACAGCCTAAGTGCCCATCAGCAGATGAGTGGATTAGAAAACTGTGGTACATATACACAATGGAATACTATGCTGCGGTAAAAAAAAAGGAACTCTTGCCTTTTGCAACAGCATGGATGGAACTGGAGAGCATTATGCTAATGAAATAAGCCAGTCAGAGAAAGATAAATACCACATGATCTCACTCATTTGTGGATTATAGAGAACAACATAGACTGATGAAAAGGGACAGACTCAAAAAAAAAAAAAAAAAAAAAAAAAAAAAAAAAAAGGGACAGACTCAAAGACTGAGAAACAGCAATCAGGCTATCAATCCCCAGAAGGAAAGTAGGGGAGTGCGGGGGTAAGGGGAAGAGATCAACCGAAGGACTTGTATACATGTATATAAGCCATACCAATGGACATGGACAACAGGGGGATGGGAGCATGAGTGTGTGGGAGGGGGAGGTTGGGGGTTAATGGGGGGGATGAGGACACATTTGTAATACCTTAACTAATAAAAAAAAAAAAAAAAAGGCAACCAATCAATGTGTTTCTCTCACATCAATGTTTCTCTGTCTTTCCCTCTCTCTTCCACTCTCTCTAAAAATCAATGGGGAATATTCTCAGGTGAGGATTTAAAAAAAAAAAAAATACTTACGAATAAATTTAATATAACTCCAGAAGTTTCACCTGAAAACTACAAAAACACTGCTTAAAGATGTTACAGGAGACCTAAATAAGTGGAAAGACATCTGCGTTCATGAACTGGATGGCAGTACCCAAAATGATCTATAGATTTGACATAATTGCTACCTGAATTACCAGCTTGCTTCTCTGTAGGAAACTGAAGGGACCCAGAATAACCAAGATAATCTTAAGAAGAGGAACAAAGTTGGGGGATTCACACATCCCAATTCCAAATCTTACTACAAAGCTACAATGTGGTATTGGCATAAGGACAGAATACATAGAACAACAGAGTCAAATTGAGAGTCCAGAAATAAAGCCACGACTTGTTGACAAGGGTGCCACGACCATTCAACGGGTAGATAATAGTTGCTTCAACAAATGCTTCTGGAACAACTGGAGATCCACCTGGAATAGAATAAAACTGGATCCTTATCTCATAACATATCCAAAAATTCAAAATGGATCATAGACCTAAATATAAGTTAAAAACTATAAAACTCTTAGAAGAAAATGTAGGGGTAAATCTTCATGACCATGGATTTGGCAATAACTTCTTACATATGACACCAAAAGTACAAGTAACAAAAGAAAAGAAAAATTGGGCATGATTAGAAACAAAATTGTGTTGCATCAAAGGGCACTATTAAGGGAGTGAAAAGACAGCCCAGACAGTGAAAAACAAAACACTGCAAATCACGTCTGATAAATGTCTAATATACAACTTAACAAAAGAACCCAATTTAAAAAAGCAAAGAACTTGTATAGACATTTCTCCAAAGATAAGCAAATGGCCAAAAGCACATGAAGGGACGCCCATCATTAGTTAAGGAAAAGCAGATTAAAACCACTTCACACCTACCAGGATGGCCAGAATTTAAAAAAAAAGAAAAGAAAAAAGGGAAAGTATCAATAAGCAAGTAGAGAAATTGGAACCCTTGTACATTGCTGATGGGAATGTACAACGGGCAGCTGTTGTGGGAAAATGTGGTGGTTCCGCAAACATTTAAACAGAGAATTACCCTTTGAACCAATAATTCCACTCCTAGGGATTTACCCAGAAGAATTGAAAACAATTACCAATATTTGTCCAAGAATGTTCCTAGCAACACTATTCACAATGGTCAAAAGGTGGAAACTACTCAAATGTTCATTATTGGATGACTGGATAAACAAATGTAGTATATACGTACAATGGGATATTATTCAGCCATAAAAAGAAATGAAGTACTGATACAAGCTACAACATGGAGGAACCTCAAAAACATGCTTAGTGGAAGCCAGACTGAAAAAGTCATGTGTTATTTTTCCCTTAATATGAAATATCCAAAATAAATCGAGACAGAAAACAGTTGTCAGGGAATGAGGCGTGACTACTAATGGGTAAGGGTTTCCTTTTAAGGGAGGAAAATGTCTTGGACCTGTTATAGGTGGTGGGGTTAACAGCATTTGGTGTGAGTGTACCAAATGCCACTGCATTATCCACTTTAAAACAGTTAATGGCTCATCTGTGAATTTTATATCTAAAAAGAAGATGAACTGTCGAACCACTTTTTCAATACTTCGAAGTGCTTATCATCTCACTAATTCTGATTGCCAACCCTGTGAGAATGGATTTACTGCCTCCTATCCCTTCATATTGCTCACAAAACTAAATTCTAAGTTCTTATCTATATAAAGTATGCACCCATCAGATAGCGTTATTTCTCAATTACCAGAGCCGTCAGTGTTAAATCAGTGCAAAGCCACACCCATGGTTTTTTTTCCATGCCCATCTATTTATTGAGCCCCCCAAGCAAGCTCCTGTAATAAAGTGAAATGTTAAAAGGCTCTTCTACTCTACTTTTGTTAGTTCTAAAATTCTACTTGAACTCTACTGTGCCTGTGTAATCACTACTGTCCACACTTCTGGTGAACAAAGACCATGCCAGGTTATCAGGCAGTGGGAATTTATGGTCCAAAATCTAATTTTGGACTTAATACTAATGATATGTACTCTTGAATGGGCACTTGGCTCATTACATTGTATTATTTCCCCTTTAGCAACTGTATTAACTTCATAAAAACCCAATGAAATCATACAGGCCAGCAACATGATTGCATGAAATTATAATTAGGTTGCCATTCCTAAAATATATTTTGCTTGGATAGCAGGGACTGTCATGTTTACTAAACCTATTTTTAAAGAAAGGTCCCCTTTATTGGCCATTCTTCTGTCACAGATCTGTGTGGTAATTTGGGCATCCCCACATCATGTGACCCTAACCTCAGAAATAATGTAAATATTAGTTCCCAAGAGGAAGCTTGCAAGTTGTTCCTGTCATCTCAGGAAATATAAAGGCATTCCTTTGTGCAACCCAAGTCATTACTCCCCATCATGGAGAATGACAGCCTGGTTCAACCCATTTTTAGGAATAAAATGACTGGCCATGGCTAGTTTGATTCAGTGATGAGAGCATCAATTCCTGGTCAAGGGCAGTAGCTTAGTTGCAGGTCCCATCCTGGGCCCCAGTCAGGGGCATGCAGGAGACAACCAATTGATGTGTCTCTCTCACATCAACGTTTTTCTCTCCCTCCAAAAAAAAAAAAAAAAAAAAAAAATCACCTGGTCACCATGGCTGTGGTTGAGCTTCAACCTATGAACCAGGTCTCAGTTCGATTCTTGGTCAAGGGCACATGCCCAGGTTGTGGGCTCGATCCCCATAGGGGGCATGTAGGAGACAGTCAATCAATGATTCTCTCTCATCATTGATGTTTCTGTATCTCTTGCCCCATCTCCCTCCCTCTCTGAAATCAATAAAGATAGATGTTATTTCACACAGGGTGGGGGGTAGAAGAACCTCACTGAAATTGAGATATATTTTATGACAGGTCTTGGATTACTTTTACAAAAACAAAACAAAGCAATTTCATAGTTTTATTATCCTTTTTCAGACTATTAATTTTTTAAAAACATGTATTTTATTTTTTACAGAGGAAAGGAGAGGGATAGAGAGTTATAAACGTCAATGAGAAACATTGATCAGTCGCCTCCTGCACACTCCTCACTGGGTATGTGCGCACAACCAAGGTACATGCCCTTGATCGAAATCGAACCCAGGACCCTTGAGTCCTCAGGCCGATGCCCTATCCACTGAGCCAAACCAGTTGGGGCCAGACTATTAATTTTCAACGTCACCAACAATTTTTGCCTCAAGAGGATAAGCTTCAAAGGCCTTGTTGAACCTGTGACTAAGAAATAATGAGCACTAAGTTGAATCTGTGCAGTAAGAAATGAGCAGAAACAATTCAGAGGCACCATTTTCTTGCTTACTGAACAGTTTATTTAGTTCTAATATAGACTTTTTCATAAATATTCATCTCACATCTCTAGTAAGGCTCCTTGAGAGCAGTGCTCATATCTTATTTTTATCATGAATTAGCACCTGGTACACAGTAGATGCTCATCAAATATTTTTATTACCTTGTAAAATAATTTCCCACTGGCCAATGTGTCCTCAAATGTGACAGTTCAAAGTTTACAGGAAAGCAGACCCAGCAATATCATTTCAAAAGGCAGGTCTCTTCCATTCTTTTGGTTATAGGAACATGTAGCCAGTGCTTGCTACACGTGAACACATGCTGCCTTTCCTTTCTGACTCGGGAACCTCCAAAGGAAGAGTATTTAAAATGAAATGTTTACTTCATTTTATTCATTTTTTACAGATAGCATCTTATCTGTGGCAATTTATATTGGTTTTCCATTCATGGGAGGGACATCAAGTTTTCTTTTTAAATATATTTAAGAGGAAGTAACTTGATTTAAGGAAAAAACCCTGAAGTAATGCAGAGGTGGAACACATGAGATCTATTCTGAAGGTCATTCTCCAAGGATTAAAGATTGGGAAACAATGCCCTAGGCAAAGTGTCCTGTCTTAAGGGGCGGCTGGGTGTGCTTCCAGTGGTGCAGTTGTCAGAGTTCAGATGTGACAGGACCAGCATCACATTAACAAGATTCTGCTACATCTTGTGAGAATCATACCCCATCCGTGAGCTATAAACGCAGGTCAAAAACTAAAGGCAAAGCAAATTTTTAAACTTAAAAAAACAAATCTTTATAAAGTAAGATATATCCTAATAATAATGAGCTGCTCCCAGACAAAATAATAATAAAGGAAGGGCATTCTTAACAAGCAAAGTATCAAAACCTCAGCGCCCACCTCTTATTATTCCACCTGCAGTATAGGAAGGTCACAGCTGCTTGGGGGAATGTACTTGTGTAGCTTCCAAGCCGAGGCGGAAAGCCACCCAGCTCTAAGACAAGCCCACGAGGCACGTTTTTCTGAAGGAAACAGCTGGGTCTCTTCACCAGGATGTTTTCGGCATATTCCAGGAACACACACCCTAGCACTACTTACAAACCGAAGAAAGATCAATGCGTCACATGACACATCCCTTGAAACAGGGAAAGGAGGGTCACTCGGTGGGAGTAACATCTTTGGACTCTGCATCAGTTTGTTCCACCTCAGCTTCTGTGGCAGCTGGGGCCGGAACAGTGATGGTCACAGTGCCTTTTGCTTCTGCTTCACCTTCAGCCTCTGCAGCCTTATTTCCAGCCTGGGCCTCCTCACTTCCGGCCTCTGCTTCAGCGCTCCCCTTCCCGGATGCCATTCCACAGTGTGTGTCTGCTTCCAGCGGCTGTTCAGGATGGGGACCACTGGTAGCCTCTGCAGTGTCCATGGGGCCTCCCCCTTCAGCCAGTGTTTCAATACTTTTTGGAGTGGGCACTCCTTCCCCCTCTACTGCCTTCACTGCTGCTGTAATCACCTCGGCTAACACTTCTTCGGCCACCTCCTCAGGTGTCTCTTCCTTATCATCACCTCCTAAATTGTCAACTCCTTCGATTTCTGGATCAACGGCTTCATTGGTGAAAGGGTCTTCACCCTGGCCAAGAAGAAACAGGTCAGTGGTCTAAAGAACTGTTCAAACGAGTGGAAGCAGACCCAGGTTGCTGGGTAGAAGCTCGTATTTTCATGATAAGCAGTCAATAAGAGAAATACTTTATTCATTTATTTATTATTTATTATTTGAGAGAGGGAAGAAGGGAGAAGGAGAGAGACAGAGAAACATCCATGTGAGAGAGCTACACTGATGGGCTGCCTCCCATATGCGCCCCTACCGGGGATCAAACCCGTAACCTAAGCATGTGCCCTAACCAGTAACTGAACCCATTACTTTTCAGTGCATGGGACAATGATCCATTCAACTGAGCCACACTGGACAGGGCAAGAGAAATACTTTAAACTACACCAGGTGTTAACCCTAAAGGATCTCAGAGCCTATTGATTCAGAAAAGACATCTCCGAAAAGCTTCACTAGAACTATTTTGTACTTTTTTCCTTTTGGTTAATCCTCACCTGAGGATATTTTTTCCATTGCTTTCAGAATGGAAGGGAGGAAGGGAGGGAGAGAGGGGAAAAAGAGGGAGGGGGGAAGAAGAGAGGAGGAGGGGGAGATGGGGAGAAGGGGAAGGCAGGAGAGGGAAAAACATCAACGTGAGAGAGACACATCGACTGGCTGCCTTCCGCAGGCACCCAGATCAGGTGGGGAACAACTCAGGTACACGCCCTTGACGGGAAATCGAACCCCCACCCCTTCGGTACTGAACCATTTAATAACTGAGAGGAGGGCAAACAGGTCCTAGCCAGGCTATGCTACAGCTTAGCTACCAGCCTTAGAAGTTAAAGTCATGGGACTGAGCATTTAGGAAACGGGCTTCCCAAGGAGGAACCAGGGGGGCTCTTCCAACTTCTCTCCCAGGCACCCTTCTTTGGGACTTTTTGTTACTCGGCTCCTGTCACTATGGCTCAATGGCTGAGGCACCTCTGGCTCTTCCCTGCGCCTTGATCCTCCATTTTATTCAGTTGGATCTGCCAGCAAAACCTCATTTTAGCTTCTTTCTTGGACAATTACCCACCTTGGATATGTTTCTTTTTAAGCATCTCACCATCATTTGCTCAGTATTTTATGGATAGTCTAGGTTTCTCATGTAGAGAATCAACACTATTGTACAGATTAATCGAGCACAACCACATCCCAGAGCTCCCAAGCAAGCACTCGGTCTCGGGAAATCCAGTTGTGGAACTCCCAAGCCTGATACATTCCAGCATCCCTCAGTTCTTCAAAAGACTCAGAAATCCTAAGCACTGCACTCGAGATACAGTTCCATATTCATAGTTCTTTCTCCGTTTCGAAAGCTTTTCCCATCCATTGGGCTCCTAACCTTGAGGTATTTTTCCAGCATCTTCACTATATGTCTGTTGTTCAAAACACTCTTAGCCACATGGAGACTTGTTTTCTTGAACTGTTCAGCAGCCAACTGCAAAGGGAACCACACATAGGTTTTCAAAAATGGCACATACACAGGAGCAAGAGAACACACCAGCCAGGCTACATCAAGTTGTTCATTTACAGATTAGAAGCTTTGTAAACTAAGTAGGGAAAGGAGTAAGTTTTTCTTTTCAGTTTTGACTTATATTAACTTCATAATAAGTTCAATAGCAAAACTATGAAAGCTCAAAAACAGCTTGACACACATACAGTAATCACTAGTTTATACAGTGCTTTTGGCTGCTCTTTAATGCAACTGGGAGGTGGGGAGCCCTGGCCGGGTAGCCCAGTTGGTTAGAGCACCATCCTGATATGCCGAGGTTGTGCTGTAAGAAGCAACCAACGAATGCATAAATCAGTAGAACAACAAATCACTATTTCTCTCTCCTTCCCCCACCCCGCCTTCCTCTTTCTCTCTAAAATTAAAAAAGCACACAAACAAACAAAAAATGGGGAGATGGGCAGGCAAGTACTGAGAGCTCCATTTCATCACTGGGTAAACTAAGAACAGAGATGTTAACTCGGGGATCAGCAAGCTACAGCCAGAGGGTCAAGTGCAGCCACACCCATTCTTTCACTTACTAGCTGATCTGTGGCTGCTTTTGCCCACCAACACCAGACTTGGACAGAGACCTTATGGCCTGCAAAGCTGAAAATATTTACAATTTGACCCTTTACAGAAAAATTTGCTGACCCGAACTGAATTTTTAGCCTCAGGCCCCATAAGCTAGTAAGAACCAAATGGGTCTCCCAGGCCACTCTGCTCTGAAAGGCCTTTGGCCTCAGTTTATAGAAAATCTAGTTTTTCAGCAAATGTGGAATTGATTTGTGTGGTTTACAGGGAACACTCTCAAACCAGGAGAATTTCAACTGTGTATTAAATCAATTCTAAGCAACACATTTTCACAGAAACTAGGGGGCATCATACAATTGATGAAGTGGCAGACTTGATGGGATATGGCAAAAGCCCCTAAAGATGTTAGCATTCCTCATAAGACACAGAAGGTTCTGAAACCTCCACTAGAAGCCCGGGAAGGCTCGTCCCTCAGCCAGCATCAGGAGGGGCTCACCCGGCGATTGTGATTGTGATCCACAGAGTGCAGGTGCCGTTGGAGGAGCTGGTGCTGCGCAGGGATCAGCATGTCGCAAGCCAAGCAGTGAGCAGCCTCGATCTTCTTGAAGAAGTGCTCTTGGCCAATCCCTGTTGATGAAATCCAAGTCATATGGGATCTGGGACAGCATGCATGTAATGCTCCCCACCCCTTCAAGCCCCCAACGAGGTCCACATTTTCTCCCTGCAGCCCTCTCTAGGGATTCCGTGAGGACAGAATCTGAGACAGGCGCCACCAGCCTTCCAGCAGGAGTGCAGGGCCAGAACAACCAGCCTCTATACCAGGACATTATTACTTCCAACTTTTCTTCTCCTTCAGTCCCAGAAGGAAAAAACTGCAGAGCACTTCATGTCACTGTTAACTTGCCTGTAGAGCTGGGATCTCTATTAGGCCAAACTGGAGGGCTTATTTCCATTGCTAAGGGCCCCTCCCATGGGTCTTCCCGTTCCATCCTCAGCAGCCCTGTGCTGGCTTTGCACTGAATCATGTGCCTTAGTGCCATGCAGAACAGCACGCCCCCTGGGATCACAACTCACCTTTGAAAGGATCTGGTTTTGGTTTTGTGCTTTCCTTCTCCATCAGCTCCTGACGTCGCTTCTCAATCTTCTTATTCCTGTTTACAATGTATTCCTAAAGGGGTTGAGAGACAGCACCAACTGAAACCAGGCGAGGATAGCACATGTGGGTATTTCTCACCTGCAGTAGAGGCAGCTCACCATGAGTGTCTGCCCAGTCCCTATCGGATGACAGCCAGGCAGCTCTGCGGGCAGAACTACTGGGAACTACAATGGTTGGAGCTCAGTTATTCCTGACATGGGGACTAGGCCAACTGTTATTCTGGAAATAGAAATCTTTACCAAGTTTAGACCTTATTTCCCTTCCCTTTCCCTGTGAGGGATCTGACACCTGTAGGATCAGTGGGAAGCACTGTGATAAAGGCCAAGTGTGCTTCACCTGAAGGAACTCCACCGTCTTGTCAGGCAGTTTGGTGCTTATAAACCGCAGTGTCTCTTTGTGAAATTTGCTTTCCAGATGCTTCTGGATTTCTTCATCTTCAAAGCTACGAAATTTGCACACGGAACAGGCAAATTGAATCCTGGAGGAGGAAGACACAAAGCAAGAACAGTGATGCAGGGATAACGAGTTCATCTCTGTTTAGAACTGAAATAAAAATGGGAAAGCAGTTTCTGAACCAAGACTTCGGACTTCTCATGGGGAGTCAAGAATAGCAGTTTCCTGCCCAGCTGGTGTGGTTCAGTGGTTAGTGGTTGAGTGTCGACCCATGAACGAGTAGGTCACAGTTTGATTCCCAGTCAGGGGCACACAGGAAGCGGCTGATCAGTGATTCTCTCTCATCACCGTTTGTCTCTCTCCCTATCCATTCCTCTCTGAAATCAATCAATAAATTTATATATACATAAAAGAGTTAAAAAAAAAAAGATAGCAGCTTCCTATCAAGGATTGGGACTACAATCTTGAAAGTATTCAGGAAAATGATTCATGTAGCAATTTACTACTATACCAGTCTTTTTGGCCCAAAGGACTTAGGTGACTCAATTTTAGGTAGCCGGTTCAATTCCAGGTCAGAGTACATACCTGGGTTTCAGGTTCAATTCCCAGTCAGAGCACGTGCGGAAGGCAACTAATTGATGTTTCTCTCCCTCCTCTCTCTAAGGATGTCATCCTCCAGTGAGGATCAAAAAAAAACCTGACACGACCTAAGAAAAATTCTCTGACAGGGTTCGACGTAAACGCACGTTATGTCAAATTCATGGATAAAAACTAACGTTTCTTTGTCATGTGATTTCAAAGTCTCACAAATGCAATCATGCTATAAGGTGATGAGAGAGTGGCCTGCAGACCTGCATACCCCCATAGTGGAGTGCTGCTTCCCTTGGCTTTGCCCAAGAGCCTCTGGATCTTTTGTGGTAAGAACACAGGCCATGTGGCACTCAGGACTCCTCTGCCAATGCCAGATTCTGCTGACCTCTAGCACCTGGCCTGGATCTCTAGGCAAGTGCCACAAGCTTTTGTAGATACCCTAACAGAGGAGTGAAAAGGAAAAAAGTCACCCAGGCTCTATGTGCAGAACTATTAGAAAGAAATATGTTTCCTGGCTGTATCTCCACCTCCTCTGTAATAACTGCTCCAACAATTGATAATTGCTCTAGACCCATCACTAAAGCAGGATTTAAAGATTCTTTTTTAAAAATGTCATCTAAGTTCTCATGTGGCACGTAAATAGATCAAATCTAGCCATCACCTATTTACTCATCTATTTAACGAGGATTTTTTGTTGTTGTTAATTCTCATCTGAGGATATTTTTTCTATTTTTATTTTTAGAGAGAGTCGAAGGGAAGGGAGAGATAGAGACAGAAACATCAATGTGAGAGAGACACATCGATTGGTTGCCTTTCACACGTGCCCTGACCGGGCCCAGGATGGAGTCTTGCCCAGAATCGAGCCCAAGACCCTCCAGTCTAAGGGCCAATGTTCTAACCACTGTGCAACATGCTAGGCCTTTACAAGGGTTTTGATGAATTCTTCTAACACCTGAAAGCTCCTACATTTCAGTTCCTGTCTCTGTTACCCCTTTTGGTGAGTATTCTTTGCACAGGAAAACACTGCCCCAGGTGAGCCTTAAGAGCAAGGAGTCCCCCCTCAAGTCATTAAGAGAACCTGTGCACAGAGAAGCAGCCATGTGTGGCTAAGACCTTGGCAACCAAGGGCTCCCATGGCCACCAGCGGTTTACTTTTCTCGTCAGGTCAGCAGCCACGTAATCACTGAACAGGGAGAGAAGTCCACGGGTGGTCACACCAACACTCTTCGGGCTTTGCGTTTTTGTGCTTCTTTTTCTATTTAAAGGTTGTAGGGCATGGCTACAGGGTTAAGCCTCGGACTGACCTGTTGGCAAAGCCACAAACAAGTCCCAGCTTAGAGGACACAGTCCTCTTAGCATAATTAGGCTTGACCTTATGATGCTTCCTAGATCCTTCCTGGGAAGCTAATGGGCTATGGGAGGGCAGCAAGTGCTGCCCAAACAAGTGAAACTCACAACATTGTAACCATGCTGACCACTACCTTGTTTACCTCTGGCTATAAAATAAAGGCTCAGCTTGCCTCTGGATCTCTCTCGGTGGCCTCAGCCAGGCACAAGAAGATCCACCTAGACCCAGCTTATTCTCTGTCTGTCATTTCTTCATCCTTTCACCGCCCTCACTCAGGCTTGCGAACCCTTGGCTGAGCTAGCTTGGCACAAAAGGTAACGTTGATACACGTATAATTGGTAAATCAAACTCCAGATTTGGAGTCTGGATTGGGACAACGCACCAGATCACCTCCTTAGCAGCTCTGCTTGATGAAGATCAGCTGTTCTGGATGACAGACACAGGCCAGGGAACAAGGAAACTCCCCAGGGGTATGGAAAAGGGTAACAGAACGTCTGGGGGGGGGGGAGGGGCACATGAGGGCCACAGGGACCTCTGGCAAGAATATGATTCCATTCGTGTTTCTCGACTTTTGTCTCCCACCACTCTGACTAGGCCTTCCCACAGACACCTGGTCAGCTCACACCAGGCTCTGCCCGCGTCCTGGGGTAGGAACCGACGAGCTTAGAAGGGCCTTGGCAGTGCCCGGGTCCAGCTGACCTGCCACCTCACCTGTCCGCTGCTCGGTCTCTCAACCTGTCTCTTCTCCTTTGCTTTTCCTTCCTCTTCTTCGCTTCATCATCCTCGTCATCCTTCTCTGCAACAGAGAAATCCCTTCAAGACCTTCTGCAGAGCCCACAGAGGAGCTAAGCACCAGGGCCTCGATGGGGCTGCAGCTCGGACACTGCGCCCTGTGCCCTGCTGCTGCCTCCACACACGGCAGGGTCAGGACACCCTGAGGCACCAGGGACTGTCAAAGGCTCCCACACAAGAGCTTGGATGAGAACCCTGGGGCGTTCCCAGGGGAGACACCTCACACCCCCCATGGCCTAATAAGGCTGGGATGGGCCAGGGACACGGCCCACCCATCCCATTCACACTGAGGCCCACCTCATCTCTGGTCTTCCCTATCCTGCGTTTCCAACATCAGTTAAGAGCGTAGTTCTTCCTAGGTAAAGAGGCAGCAGCTAGAAGCCTCAGAAAATAAAGCTGTTCTACCTCCCCGTCCCACCTCTAGGTGGACCAGGACAACCATCCCGTAGGCCTCCTCTGAACTAGGGCCTCAGCAGGTCTGTCAGTCCTTGCTGGCCCGAACTCTATCTTCCACTCATGAAAACTGTCACTCTAGGGCTTTCCCAGGGCTATATGGGAAGCAATCCTAGAGAGAGAAGTAGGAAGAGACCTATCGGTCCTCCATCCATCTCCTGGGGCCAGCCCAGTGTCCCAGCGTGAGGCCAGGTCAGGTTACCGTGGCTCAGGGCAGGGCCAGACACTGAAAAAGGTTGGATAAGCATCTGAACTGTAACCCCTACCCCTGATGCCAGTCACGAGACTGTCCCACGAAGATGGCGACCGGCGTGCGCTGCTCAGAAGCCTCTCAAAAGGGCGTGTGGGATTTTTGGCAAGAGGTCACTGCCTGAAACTATTACTGCTGTTTAATAGCAAAGTCATCCAGGGTAGGTAGCAGGACCTGCACGCAATAAACATGTCACCTTTGCTTTAGCATTTTCCCCGCTGCACAAGCTGCTCAGTGTTGTGTGGTCCCATGCTACAGGCATGATCGCTTCCATAAATAAACAGAGTGAGAAGACCTCAGAGGGTTGGCTAAACCTGAACACATAAGGGAAGAAGCAGCTAAGCCAGGGGCCTTCAGAATTGACGGGAGCAGAACCAGCCTGTGATTCTTGGGGAACACCAGCTACAAGACCCATGGGAATAGGAAAAGTGGCTTTTGGGTAAGCTCAAGGCCACCATGTCCCAGGCTGCTTCTCCATGCCCCCTCCTCACCCCAAGAGGTTTAATTTGGTTTTGCTTTTGCCACTAAATTTGTACCCTTAAGTCTCTGGTACTGGAAGTGATGGGGCCTGCTGAGCCGTAAGCAATGACTGCCGCTAGCGTATCTGGGTCTAGGTGTACCTGACAGGCCTCCCCCTTTCCCTCAGCCCCTAATCCAGGCAGGTGTCTAAACTCTGTCCCATGCAGCAATATGCTGCAGTTGCCAGCAATCCCACCATTAAGGCTGAGGCAATAGAAGGAACTGTGGAGATAGCGAAGCCCAGGAGAACAGTACAGGGACCTGCATGGACCAGGGTAAAGGAGAAGACAGTTGGAGGGCACCTTTTCTTTTTCTCTCGCATTTCTGAGATTCCCTTCACGACCCCTCAAGCTGCTGCAGACACCACCCACAGGTGAGCTGCCCCGTCCCTCCATCGCCTGCATTTACAATGGAGCAAAGTCTTGGGGTGAGTGCCATGGCCAAAGCTCGCCCAGTAATCACAGCCCTTCTTCTGCCCTGAGCCATCATCCCCTCCATCCAGGCTCCAGGCTTGCTCAGAAACCCAGCTCTGCTGAGTGTTGGGCAGTGAGTGCAGGACAGCTGTGCAGACACAGGAAAGTTCAAAGGGACAATGGGCAATGCCTACCTCTCTGCCTCCCGGAGTCCAAGAACTCGTCCTCCTGAAAAAGCACACACACGAAGTTGGGCAGTGAGGTGGTTTCCACAACTCTCCACACCAGCCTAGCTCCCCCTGCCAATACCTGGTGGTTGCTGTGCCACCAGGAACCTAGTCACAAGGTGTTAGGATCAGGTCCAGGGCTATGGGACAGAGCCCGAGTGTATCCTGTCACTACTGGTTGCCTTCTGGGATTCTGGGATGAATAATCTGTTTTGCTTTTTTATTAAAGACACTGACCTTCTTTCAGCTTTCTAAAGCTAAAGTATGGCCTCTGGCAATGTACACCTGCACAGCTCTGCACATGGGAATGCCAGGAGCCCATTCATAAATTGTATGTCAAGAAACTCTGATTTGTAGGATGCTACTTCCAGTGCTCTTTATTGAAAATGGGTTTTACCAAGATTCCCAGCCATTTGTTTGTATTTACCAAAGGTTGTAAAAAATTAGGTGTGGATAAAAATGACCAGCTAAGTGAAAATGGAAAGGGAGTCCATTTCTTAGGCATGAAGCCAAAGATTAAATTACCAATCAGCAAGTACACAGTGATTCCTAGACTCAAGACTGAAGCAAAACATGGGACAAGACCCTCAGAAAAGCTGAAAACTCACTGTACCCAACTTCTCCCATCTTCCGCCAACTGGCTTGGCCATTAGAAGCATCTGTACAAAGCCTTCATACACACAGATCTAGGGCCCTAGCCTAGAATTGGATAAGAATTTACAGCGAGTGGCAAAGGTTCACTCGCCAGTCCTCATGCTAAGAGCCGACCTTAAACACCTGTCTACCATGACTGGTTGGAAGCAATGAATGACATGGATGCAGCTCAGCACCAGCGTGAAGCTGCAAGTCTTCAGTACATGTTTGGAAGCCTCAACCTACACAGCCACTGCACTGACCACGTGTGCAGCTGGGCACATTACTGTAACGACACAGAAACGGCTGGGAGGGGGCAGGAGGGCTGGGAATTTTTTTCAGGAAGGCAAGGATTGTTACAGGTGGAACACTCCAGCTGCGAGTCTACCATAGCAGCAGTGCCTGTCTCTGTGAGGAAGAAGGAAGAAACCCTGCACTAGAGACAAAGAAGATTGACCAGTGAAGGTGGACTTACTCCCCTGAATTCTTCATCTCCTGACCGGAAGTCACCAGCTCCATCATCTATCAGACACAAAAGTAATTGGGAAAGTTAGCCCCTCAGCAGTGGCCCGGTTTTCACCCTCCCAAGCTCACTGTCCAGAGCGACGAAGCTTACCCTGACCACAGTGGGGACTGTGGGAGTTTGGGTGACACACAGCCCCCTTGAGTTCCTGCGTGTCCACTGTACGGACAGGCAGGCAAGGCACTAAGCATGCAACTAACTCATCTCATACCCACTGAAAACGCACTGTATCCCACCCCCAGGGCATACCATTTTCGGAAAAATCTCCTTCGCTGTCAGCCCGGGCCTGTTTGGCATCCGGCTCATCATAGATTTGCAACTGCTTCCGTTTCCTGCCCATGCCATCTGGGCCGCAGCGGTCAAACCCTCTCCACCTGGGCTACAGACACAAGCACATCCTGATGTACCACCTCCCCGGGCCATTAAGATACCCCAGGGCCGTGGTCGGCAAACTACGGCTCGCGAGCCACATGCGGCTCTTTGGCCCCTTGAGTGTGGCTCTTCCTAAGCCTTAGGAGTACCCTAATTAAGTTAATAACAATATACCTCCCTATATAGTTTAAGTTTAAAAAATTTGGCTCTCAAAAGAAATTTCAATCGTTGTACTGTTGACCTTTGGCTCTGTTGACTAATGAGTTTGCCGACCACTGCCCCAGGGGAATGAAGAATGAAGAGGGTATAAGATCAGAGAACAAAGATAGACAAGGTCTTTTCAGAAGGCAAAGAAAGGCAACATAGCTTAACCCCCCACAACCGTTATGCTGAATGTAAAAAGCTACACACAAAAGGACACATATTGTATTCATGTGTTATATCCAAAACAGGCAAATCCACGCACAGAAAGGTGTTAGTGGTTGCCAGGGACTGGGGGAGGAAATATGGAGTGACTGCTAACAACAGTTTCTTTCTGGGTTGACAGAAATGTTCAAAAATTAGATGGTGGTGAAGGCTGCACAAATCTATACATTTTTACTAAAAGTCAAATTATACACGTGAAAATGAGTGAATCCCACAATCTCTAAATTTTACCTCAATAAAGCTGTTTAAAAAGAAAAGCAAGACAGGCAGGGTAGAACTTTGCAAGGGCTTACCCGATCCCTCATCCGGGTCTGTGACTGGCCACATCTGTAGGGCACAGAGTTGTCATAACCTCCAGCCCCCTGCATGCCCATCACTCCATAGTTGGGGGCCATGGACTGGGGGGCCATGGACTGGGAGAAGAGGGAAGGTGGGGGCCTGCTGGGAGAGGGGCCTCCCAGGCCCCGTCCACCCACGTAGTTCATTTCTGTCCAGGGAGCAGACAGTGGTTGGGAGGAGGCCGCTGATGTCATGAAGGGGTCAGTGCGCATAAAGGTGCCAGCGTTGCTCCGGTCCTGAAAGCGGCCCTGATCCCGGCCCCGCATGAAGCCATCGAGTGAGCGGGGCTCCCGGGCAGGGTCCCGACAGTCACCGTACTGACTGCCAAAGCCACCATTGCGGTCAGGTCCCAGGTCAAAGTCATAGTTGTAGCTATAGCTGGGACGGTAGGGATTGTGCTCAGGCAGACAAGGCCTGGAGTCGTAGGAGTCAAATGACTGGAAGCGGAAGGAACTGCAAAGAAAGCACAACCATGACTACTGGTTTCGACCATGCTCTGGTTTCGATCTCTACACCTCCTGCAAAGCTGACCTCCCTACACTCAGAACAAGAAAGCAAACCAAACCACCCCGTGCCCCTCCTAAATGCCTGGAGGCGAAACAGACCAACACTCCCCTCCAAACACTGATGAATGTGGGCACAAGCCATTGGCCACAAGAACAGGGCGGCTGTTAAGCTCCTGGTGCAAAAATGAAGAGTCTGGCATAGTTTAACCACAGCCATGCCCTAAACCCCGCCACTGAGGAAACGAGCAAGTCCAATTACAATGCCTCTTATCCCAACAAAGGCCCGACTCATCGACGCATGCCCAGGAGGGACCGGGGAAGAGCATTCCCGGGAGAGCAGGTGCCCAGTCCCTCGAAAGCGTGATGTTTGGATGCCCAGGGAAGGGATCAGGTGTGTAATTACCTCTCCCGGTCCTGCATGCCCTCCCCACCGGTGCTGCTCCCACCCCTGCCTCCTTCCTTAGACATCATGTCTAGACGTTGGTTGATCTTGGCAATGAGCGAGTCAGAATTGTCAGTGCATGGCTCTGGGCCATAAGAAGCCATATGTATGGCAGGGCCCCCAGGCCCCAGGCCATCACCAGCCTTGGTGGCTTCCCAGGAGGCTGGGCCGTAGCTGTAGGTTGCTGCTGTGGTGACGCTGGTGTTCTGGGCACCATAATAATTGTAGTTTTCATAACCTGCCGAAGGGAAGAAGAGGCAAGTCAGACCTCAGCCGCCACAAAGCCAGCCCAGGTGGACTTGTCTATAGAGGAGTACCCACTGCCATTAGGGAAGAAGGAAGAGGGTTATGGGACCAAGTGCCGCTTGCATCACTCACATTGCGCACCACATTGCCTTTGTATAGCTCATAAAGGCATAAGGAGGAGGGTGGAGGTGAGACCTCAATTCTGAGCAGATTTTCAATGTCAGATCCTAAGACTTGCTTCCCATCCAAAGCCAGAGGTGGCTGAGAGCCCAGAGTGGCAGTTGGGCTATTGACAGATCCACCATAGAGATATTGCTCCCAGAACACAACCACAATCCCCTGCGAGTTCCCAGCGAGGCCCCCTCAGCACCTCAGGCCCAGCATGCAGGCCTTCAGGAGAGATATAAGCACAGTCGGGAAGGGAGATGGGGGTCCCTGCATCCCAGCTCCTCTGGATGGCTGACCAGAGACCCTCGTGTCCACCCACTGACCCCCAGAAGGGCCTACCTTGCCAGCTGGCCACACCAGTTCCATATGCACCTTAGAGGAAACAAGAACACACAAGAGCTTTGCTTGCAGAACAAAGGCTCCTAAGACAACCCACACCCTATATTGGACAGTTGTCACCTCACTCCCCTATCCCCGGGCCAGGGCTGCAGGTGCTATGGCAGCACTCTGGGAGGCACCTGTGGTTGCCTACTAAGGCCAGGAACTATGAAACTCACTTCTTCCAGAGCACTCAGCTAAGCATAATCAGGGCTTCCCTCCTAGGCAAGCCTGGTCTCCGCATCACAGCAAGGGAAAGGACGCTGCAGCCCTCCCCAGAAGCTCATCCAGTGTGGGCCACCAGCCAAGTAGCCAATGGGCATGTCCCCAGGCAGAGCGCTTCTAAAGTGCCAGCACTCACTAGGAGCCAGAGCTCAGGCACTGCCAAAAACATGGAGAACGCAGTGGAAAATCATGTCCCTAACTTAACTGAGCAAGAGGACATGTGTCTGAGTGGCATGGAAGGCCTCTTTCTGGGACACTCGGTGATGGGCAGAGAAGTGACCCTCCCCCCAACAGTAATAGGGGCAAATCCCAGGCTCAGAAAACAAAGGATGCCATCGTCCAAATTCCTGGACGATGCCGCAAAAAAGCTCATAATCAGAGCACATTTTGGTCAAATGCATAGTGCCATGATCTGGACTCCAGAGCAGGGTTCAGCCAACAGGCCCCAGGCCAAACCTAGCCCACTGCCAGCTGTTGTATAGCCAACCACACTTTTAAATGGTTGAGGAAGAAAAAAAAAAAAAATCAAAAGAATATTTCGTGATGTGATACACATCATTTATTCACTTGTCAAAACCCATAGAACTATATACTACAGAGTAAATATTAATGTAAGTTATAGATTACAGTTAATAACAGTGTATCAACACTGGCTTGTTAATTGTAATAAATGTATCCTGCTAATGCAAGATGCTAATAGGGATAACTGTGTAGAGGTGAAGGTAAGGTTGAGTGTATGAAACTCGACATACTACCTGCTTAATCTTATAAATCTAAAACTACTAAGAAATAAAGTCCAGCGCAGCTGGCATGGCTCAGTGGTTGAGCATTGACCTATGAACCAAGAGGTCACAGGTTCAATTCCTAGCTGGGACACATGAAGGCTTGATCCCCAGTAGGGGGCATGCAGGAGGCAGCCGATCATCGAAGTTTTTTTCTCACTGATGTTTCTATCTTTCTCCCTCTCCTTTCCTCTCTGAAATCAATAAAAATATATTAAGAAATAAAGTCTAGCCCTGACTGGTTTGACTCAGTGGATAGAGCGTTGGCCTGCGGACTCAAGGGTTCTGGGTTCAATTCTGGGCAGGGGCATGTACCTTGGTTGCGGGCATACGCCCAATGGGGGGTGTGCAGGAGGCAGCTGATCGATGTTTCTCTCTCATCGATGTTTCTAACTCTCTATAAAACACTCTCCCTTCCTCTCTGTAAAAGATCAATAAAATATATTTTTTTAAAAAAAGAAATAAAGTCCATTAATTAAAAGAGTATCTGATAGCCCTGGGAGGTGTGCTCAGTGGTTCGCACGTTGGCCTGTGCACTGGAGGGTCTCAGGTTCCACCCACGCTCCCTGTCAGGGCACATAACTGATGTTTCTCTTTCTTCACTCTTCCAGTGAGGATTAAAAAGAAAAGTCTCTGATTATACACTCAGCTATTTACTCAGATTAAAATAACAGACTGCTGAAACGGACTACGTTGTGACACATGAAAAGTTATACGGTGCGCGAACGCCAGTGTCCTTCAGTCAGTATTACTGGAACAGACATGTCCATTGTTTGTAAGTTGTCTATGGTGTCTTCTGTCCTACAGGGATCATGGAGCCTACAAAGCCAAAACATTTACTCTCTGGCCCTTTACAGAAAGGTTTCCTGGCCCCTGGGCTGCACCCCACCCCCTGTGTGCCTCTCCAGGCTACAGGCCACTGTCTCCTGGTGCAGCCTCAGGAACAGCTGTCAGTCTGGTGCCTGGAGTGGGGGTCCCGGGAGCCCATGCCTCCCACAAAGCAGGTTCCACCTACCCTGGGTGTTGGTGGGTCCAGCACTCCATGCCCCATAGCCTGTGAACAGAAGACGTGTGAATTAGGATCCTGTGTGTCACACCAGCAACAGGTGCGTTGGAGTTGGCTCTTAAGAACCTAAAGGGATCTCCTCAAAGGAGTTCAGTGCCAGCCTTACAAGAGGGCAGCATAACCACAACGCTGCCTCCCTAAAGGTCCTCTCACAGCTGGCTGGCTGCATCATCACACTCCACCTGCCAGAGGTCAAAGCAGAAAGAAGAGGGGTGGGGAAGGGGCCTTGAGCCAGCTCTGCCTGTCACTTGCCGAGGAACCTTGGCCTGAGCCTCAACCCACAACTGAGGGTGACACAGGAAGAGCCACCCGCCAGCCCATCATTAGGACTCAGCTCCGTTCCCCTCCCTGGCTCACCAACTAAGCACCCAGAAGTGCCCACCGCTAGGACACAACTGTGCCACTCTAGGTCTCACTTCCATATGGCTTTGAACCCTCCAATGCTCCGGGGCACCTTCAAGTCCCAGGGCTTCATCCTGGCCCCAAGAATCAGACTGTGCTCCCCTCTGGTCGCTCCTCTGTCCCTCCAAACCCCAATATAGCATCTGCCTGGCCCCTCTTCATCTCCATGAGCCTGCATGAGGCACACAGCTGGCCACAGGCAGCTATTTACACCCGTCAAATGACTTCACCTTTATAAAGCAAGAATGTAACTGATCTCCCTCACCTGAGCAACCCAAACCACTAGCGAACTGCCTACTGTGTGCTGACACCCAACAGGCACTGAGCACACATTAGCCAGCTTCACAGAATGCCGTTCAGAGCCCAGGGAGCTAAGGCTCCGGTTAGGGTATCTGACCCAAAGTCACACTGAAGTTTGCCCTCCGCAAGGCACCCTCTCCCCGCACCATGCAGCTTCCATAGCTGTGCAGAGAACGCAGAGTGCGGTTCTGACAGCACGTGACCAACTGCAGGGCACTGACTGCTTCACCCTGGGGCGCATGCTACTCACAGAACTTCATGACGCCCCTTGAGACTGGTACTGTTTTTCTTGTTGTAAAGGCTTGAGAAGCTAAGTCACTTGCCCAAGACCACGGAGCTGGAAACGGTCAGGGAGCTTGTCAAGGCTCAGTGAGTCCTAGGAAGTAACTCCAGGTGTTAAAGCTACAGGATGATTCAGGGAAGCTGCAGCATCTGACTGAGCCTGACAGGTTTTTAGTAGGTAGGAAGGCGGGGGGCGCCTCTCCAAGCCAAGGGCCTGTATGATCCAGGATTACTGGCGGGAAAATCTGGCAGAAAGGCAAATAACAATGAGACCCAGTCAGGCTGAGGACCCCCGGACACCCGTGCACCTCAGAACCTCTCTGCTTCTGCAATTCCCGCGGTTTGGATCCTGCTCACGCTGCCCCCTTTCAAGACACTGTCTTCTCTAGCTGCCGCTTCCAAGACCAGGTCGCCTGCTTCTGGAACCCCAGATACTTGGATAGGGACCTGCGCCTGGTCCAGCCCAACTGTTCCCAGTGGGCAAACTCGGCTCCAGTACCGAGCAGGGGCTTCCCAGGAGACTGACCCGGGAGATGAAGGGCAGGTCCCCCTGCGACAGGCCCTGCAACCCACACGGGGAGAGGGCACACGTCCTCTTCCCGCGGCCCTAGCACCTCCGGGCCACCGTAAGAGTCCCTGGAAGGGAGCCACCCATCCGCCACCACCCCGGGCTACATCAGGTTTCCAGCTCTGCCCAAGGAAATACCCAGCATCTGACCCTCAGGTTCCGTCCGGGGTCAGATCCACCGCTGAACCCGAGGCTGAGCCTCACAGAAGCCTCACCCGGTGCGGCCGCGCTACACCGCGGAGCTGGCAGGGAGGACTCCGACCCCGCGCCACACAGGCGCATTCCGGGGCGGGAGCGCCTGGCCACGTGCGCCGCGCGGAGGCCCCCACCGAGCCCCGCGGATCCCGGGACAGGCCTGACAGCCAGGGAGAGGACTCCGCACCCCCCGAGCGCCGACTGTGGCTCCGCCCCCCGGCGCCGCCATTTTGTGGCGTCTTCCGAAGGGGAAGTCGGCGGGCCGGCGAGCACGGGCGCGGTGAGCAAGGCGGTTCGACCCGCCGAAACTAAGGGTTAGAAACCGACCCGACGGCCCAAGGCGCCCCCTGAAGCCCATCCCAGCGTCAGGACGCCGCGCTCCGCCCGCCTCCCGTGGCACCGCCATCCAATCCGACGTAATGCCGCGGGAGCGACGGCACCGCAGTCCAATGAGCGGCGGGCGCGCGCCCAGTCCGCCTCGCCGCACGACCGGGCTGCGGGAACCGACCTCAGGCGTGGTCCCTGGCCCTGCGGCCCTCCGAGCGGCCGCTGCCCAGAAAAGCGCCTACCCTCCCTACGCTGCCGTACGAACCTCCGTAGCCCTGCTCCATGTCTTCGGCTCGGCCCGCCAGCAGCCCCTTTTTCTAGGCTGCCACGGACGCATGCGCTCGACGTACCTCCCGTCGCCCGCTACTGGAAGACCGGGCACACGCGTAATTCCTCCCGCGCAATACCATTGCCCGACTTCCCCGGTGAGCCCGCCTCCATCTCCCCAGCTGGCTCTGCGGTTGGTCGGCATCGGCGCGCAGCATCTTGGGAGTTTTGGTCGGTCCTCGGGGCCTCACCGCGCCCCTCCTGGTCCCCGCCCCTCCAGGTCTCGCCCGCAAGCACCGCCCCCCTCCCCCCGCCGCGAGGTCCCACCTCCCACCTGCCGCCGGCGCTGCCCACAGACAAGCCTGGAGGCGGGGTGGGAGTAACTTTATTAAGCTCGGCTTCCAGCCTCAATTACGTGCGTCCAGCCCAGCCCTGACCCTGGTCACGGGGGGCCCCCGCCTCCCTCCTCGTCGTCGTCCTCCACGTCGAGGCCGGGGATGCCACGGATCTCGCGCTGCAGCGCCCCGCCTAGCAGGGGCACAGCCTCCTCGTCTTCCTCGGGGGGTGGCGGCGGTGGTGGGGGGGACGCGGCGCCAGGGGCCGGTTCCGGGGGCACCGGGGGCTGCGCCTGCGTGCTCTCGGCACTCTCCGTGCCTCCTGCCACTTGGATCAATGGCCCCACATCCAGGGCGCTGCCCTCGGCCTCCTCCTGTTCCTTCTCCTCCTCAGGGCTGTCGGTGAAAGGGTTCTCGCCCTGTGGGAAGGGCACAGATGCTAAAGGGAGAAAGGACTCGCGGGACCAGGGCTGGGGACAAGGACGGGGGCTGGGGATGCAGCCAGGCTCCAGGCGCCCGCGCCTCACCTTCAGGTAGTGCTCCAGCTTCTTGCTGATGAGCTTGTTGTTGAGGATGCTGCGGGCCACCATGAGGGAGGACTTCTTAGACTGCTCCATCATGAGCTGCGGATAGGAGCAGGCGGGGATGGAGAGGCTGCTCCCGGTCCCAAAAGACCCCCACCTGCCAGATGGCAGGGCCCTCCCTCACTGCACACCTCCACCTTGTGTGGGTTTCTAAGTGTACCTTGAGTACAAGTGTGTGGCCACCCTCCAAGCATGGAGCGAGCCATGGCCTGATTTTACCATTGCTGAAATGCTCCATTCTTCCACACCATACTTACTGTATGTAACTGAGTAAAAACACATCTTTACAGCTGTATTGCAGAAATCTGACTTGCTTACATATTTAAAAACCTACTAAAAGCCAAATGAGCAATCCAGAACAGAGCCAGCTGCCCTCATAAGCACAGAACTGGAATACAAATGTCAAACAGTATATTTAAGTGACATATATCCTTTTAATCCATAGGATTCCCAGATGAAGCCTTAGACCCAAATGTAATTGGGGTGTAATTCTACACTGCTGACAAGGGGCTCAACTGTTTATATTTTTTGGAAAGCAGTTTAATAGACTGTATCTAAAGTAAAAATTTTTGGTCCTGGCCAGTTTGGCTCAGTAGATAGAGAGCATCAGCCCACGGACTGAAAAGTCCCAGGTTCGATTCTGGTCAAGGGCACGTACCTTGATTGCAGGTACCCCAGCCCTGGTCGGGATAATGTGCAGGAGGTAACCAATTGATGTGTCTCTCTGTCTCTCCCTTTTCTTTCCACTCTCTCTAAAAATCAATGGAAAAAATATCCTCTGGTAAGAATTAACAAAAAACAACAAAAAAAGTAAAAATAGTTGAACAATTCTTCCTGGAATCTATCCTAAGTTTAAGAACTGGAACCGTGCATACAGTAGTGAAAAGCCGGAGAGCACCTAAGTGTTCTTCAGTGGAGAAGTGGTTAAACAGATCATACATTCAAAAGACCCATGCAGTCCTGAAATAGGGCTCACCTCTCCCCTGGTAATAAAGATGTAGGCTAGACTGTCTGTATAGCTGCAAGTCTTTTGTCTGGGAGGATTTACACCAAACTGCCAAGTGATTTCCTCAGTGGTGAGGTACAGCCAATCGCACCTTCATCATTACAAAGGTAATAAGCAGAAAGGAACTGATAAAGTCATTTTTGTTGGGGGAAGCCCTACCTACTGAGCCCCAGCCAACTCTACATCATGTTTCACTTGCTGTTTGTACTCCCTTTCCTTGCCTTGGCCTTGCTGTTGTTTTGGGGTTTTTTACACATTTCCTCCACCACTTGGGCAAAATATTAATAGAACTCCCTCCCACATGCTCAAAATGAAACGTTAGAGATGAACAATTAGGATACAACAACAGACCAGCTCCTCTCCAACTCTTAAGCACACACCACAATGTCTCCCAACTGAGGCACACTTACATTGTTTCTAGATTTCAGCTACAATAACCAAACAGCACCAAAATAAACAAATACAGTCAGTTCTCCGAGGTCTCACATCTCAAACAATTCCAATGTCTACCAAGTTGTTCACGGAAAACAAACTTCAGTTCTTGACCTGAAAACTCTTTCATGCTGATACATCAGCAAGACAAAAAGTCTCTCTCAGCCCTAGCTGGTTTCGCTCAGTGGATAGAGCGTTGCCCTGCAGACTGAAAGGTTCCAGGTTTGATTCTGGTCAAGGACTAATGCCGAGGTTTCAGGCTCAATCCCCAGTAGGGGGTGTGTAGGAGGCAGCTGATCAATGATTTTCTCTCATCACTGATGTTTCTATCTCTCTCTCCCTTTTCCTTCCTCTCTGAAATCAATAAAAATATATTTTAAAAAAGAATAATTCTAAAAAAGTAGTAATGTATAAAATAACATCAAGGTTTTTTGTGTGTTTTTTTTTAAAAAAAGCATTTTTCAGGTAACAAACAAAGGAGAGAATGAGCCAGTATGAGTCAGTTTTCTGCTAAACTTCAGGTTGTTAACATCTCAGGGAACTGTGCTGTGAATATTTTTGTTTGCTTTTGTTGCTGGCAATGGACAATTAGCACAATTTTAAAATAAATAGGGCATCAAGAGTTGCTAATGGTGTGAAAGAAACAATGATCACAGGCAATTGAAGTAGTAGAAAAACTTGACTTGGATAATCAAAAAGCAGTTAGCCCGTGACAGCATTTTGAAGGCAGTGATATATGAACATGCAAAGATGCTGCATGCTGACCTAAAAGACAAGTGCTGACAATGATTCCTTTAAGGCTAGTAGAGGGTAGTTGATAAATTTAAGAAGTGTTTCTTTACAGATCAAGCAGCACATTAGACATGTACCTTATATAAGAAAGATTTAATACAGGGAATCATTTGGGGTCTGGAACGGATTAATTGGGGGGGTGGGGGGGGCGGGGTAGGGAGGATGATTTGGTTTTCGAACAAACTGCTTCTTGAACAGCCTTCCAAAACAAATTAAGTTTGAGAACTGAGGTTCCATTGTAATTCTATGCTGGTGCTTTTAATTCTACCAAACAGGTTCACCAAAGGCAGAGTACCCGAGTACTTTACAAAACAGCTGTAAACCATGCTTCCTCCAACTGAACTAAAACAATGTCTGGGTTTCCCGGTTTGCTCAGGAAGGCTTCCTTTAACATCAAGGTAAACAAATAATCTTCTAAATTTTGTTCTTTTGTTTT